AATCACATGATCATTTCTATAGATGCAGAAAAAGCCTTCGATAAGGTCCAACATTTATTCATGATAAGAACTTTACAGAAAATTGGAATAGATGGTCTTTACCTCAATATAATAAAGGCCATTTATGACAAACCAACAGCCAGCATCATACTAAATGGCCAAAAATTGAAAGCTTTTACTTTAACATCAGGCACAAGACAAGGATATCCTTTATCACTACTCCTATTTAATATAGTACTGGAAGTACTAGTCAGAGCAATTAGGCAAGAGAGAGAAATAAAAGGGGTAAAGATAGGAAAAGAAGTTAAATTATCATTGTTTGCAGATGACATGATACTCTACATAGAAGACCCCCTAAACTCCATTGAAAGACTCTTAGATACAATAAATAAATTCAGTAATGTGGCTGGATACAAAATCAATACTCAGAAATCAATAGCATTCCTATACACGAACAACAAAATCACAGAGAAGGAAATAAGAGAAACTACACTCTTCACATTAGCAAGCAAAAAAATGAATTATTTAGGAATTACTCTTACAAAAGAAGTGAAAGATTTATACAGTGAAAATTATAATACACTGAACAAAGAAATTGAAGATGATCTCAGAAAATGGAAAGACATCCCTTGCTTATGGATAGGAAGAACAAACATTGTGAAAATGGCCATTCTCCCAAAACTGTTATACAGATTCAATGCAATCCCAATAAAAATACCATCAACATACCTTATAGATCTAGAGAAATCACTCCTAAATTTCATCTGGAACCAGAAGAGACCTAGAATAGCAAAGGCAATTCTAAGCAGCAAAGACAAAGCAGGAGGCATCACAATCCCTGACTTGAAGTTATACTACAAAGCAACAGTATTAAAATCAACATGGTATTGGAATCAAAACAGAGCCGAAGATCAATGGAATAGATTAGAAGATATAACCACAACTACAAACACACTCAACCACCTTATCTTTCATAAAGGAGCCAAGCAGGTTCACTGGAAGAACGACAGTCTCTTTAATAAATGGTGCTGGAAAAACTGGCTCTCCATTTGCTGAAAACTAAAGCTAGACCCATGTCTATCACCATGTACTAAATTAAAATCTAAATGGATCAAAAATCTGAATATTAAAACAGAAACACTAAATCTATTGGAAGACAAATTGGGTAGAAACCTTGAAGACATAGGGGTAGGTAGAGAATTCATGAACAGGACTCAAACCGCACGGGAAATACTTCCCAGAATCAATAACTGGGACCACTTCTTATTAAAAAGTTTCTGCATGTCAAAAGAAATCTCCAGCATAGTGAAAAGAAAACCCACAAACTGGGAAAAGATTTTAGTGAACTCTCTCTCAGACAAGGGACTCTTGTATAAAACATATAAAGAATTAAAAAAACTCAGACCCCCAAAATTCAAAGATCCAATCCAAAAATGGGCATCTGAGATGAATAAGCACTTCTCAGATGAAGAAATACAAATATCAAATAAATACATGAAAAAATGCCCATCATCATTGGTCATTAGAGAAATGCAAATTAAAACCACACTGAGATACCATCTCACTCCTGAAAGAATGGCCAGGATCAAGAAAACCAACAACAACAAATGCTGGAGAGGCTGTGGGGAAAAAGGAACTCTCCTACACTGTTGGTGGGAGTGTAGACTGGTGCAGCCTTTGTGGAGGTCTGTCTGGAGATTTCTCAAAAAGCTGGGATTGGAAGTCCCACTTATTCCAGCTATTCCACTTCTAGGCATATTCCCAGAAGAACTGAAAGCATCATACCACAGTGATATATGTGCACCTATGTTTATAGCAGCACAATTTGTAATCGCCAGATCTTGGAAACAACCCAAGTGCCCATCAACTGAGGAATGGATAAAAAAGTTGTGGTATTTCTATACAATGGAGTATTATTCAGCTATAAAGAAGGATCACATTGAGATATTTATCAATAAATGGGCGCAGCTTGAGCCCATACTCATAAGTGAAATAAATCAATCTTGCATGTGTGAATACCGAATAGTTTCCCTAATGTAAGTAATGATTCAAATATATGAAAATATGTGGCAATCATGATTCCCCATTATGTGGCCTTGAAGCCTTATAAAATTTTCACTTATTAATTAGAAAGGCTTTATTCCGGGCTTCTTGATATGGAAATATTTGAAGCTATAGTATATGAAGTTTTATCCAAATATCTCAAGGAAAAAGACAGACACTATGTTAACTATTATTCTTTAAAAAAATTATTTAGTTATTTCTTATGTTTATTTTAATTAAGGGAAAAATTTAAAAAATTAGGATATATAATAGTAACTCTTTTCGATTTCCTATTAACTTGTTTTGAAGTCCTGTAATGCTCCCACGATCTTGTTTTGACTGATTAGACTCTGTTCCATTCTGTGGGATAGTATCAGGTCCGAGGGTAGAGGCAACTACTTTGAAGGCAATAAGATTCACTAAGATGCCCATTCTGGTTTGACTATTGTCTCCTTTGGAAGTCCTGTAATGTTTACAATGCTTAAGTTTTATTGGTCTTGTTCTCTACTGTTTTGTTCAACTTTATAATATCTAATGAGATAGACAATTCTTTTTTAGGAAACAAGAGACATTGTTGATAACCATTGTTGATAACCTTGTACTCTGTTTTACATCATGTGCTATGTCTATCCTTGGTTTTGACTGACAGCTTTGTTTTGCCATATTTGACTTTATTCTCCCCCCCCAAAAGTAATAAGAACTAAGGAGTAATAAAACCCAAAATGTGTAAATTTTGTTGTAAAAAAGAGAGGGAAAAACAAGTGCTCTAAAGGATACAACAGCAAGTGTCTTTAGTGGTGTTAAATAGCTGACCATATTAATGTTTTTGGTTGGATCATTGAACACAACTGTTTGCAGGCTCACTGTTTGAATGTCCACTTTGTATGCTTTGATACTGTGATTTGAGCAACTATCTCTAAGATGATAATATGTAATCTATTAACTGGTGATTTCTTACTGTTTTTTTTTTGTAGTTCTGTATTACTTGTACCCTTACACCACTTTGTTTTATTTTATTTTTTGTCTTTTTCCTTTTAAATAAAATTTTAAAAAAAGATTTCATTGTTGTACTTTTTGTTCCTATTGTCTATTTTGTTAACATTTTATTTTATATTCTGGAAAAATTCCTCAGCTTTATCTTCCAACCAATCTTATAATGTAGTATATTCCTATCATCCAGTTATTTCATTTAAAGCCTCTACTTCTTATTTAATGGATGCAGTATTTTCTTTAATCTTTCTGAAGATATGAATTATAGACTATTGTCTTTAATAATCCGTTATTTGGCTTCCTGCACTGACTGGTGTGTTTCTCCTGAGTCATCCTTGTTCTGTTTTGACAGCTGTTTCTGATGGAGTTTTCCTCACATACTTGGGGAGTTTGGGCAGGTTCTTTGCATTTAAGAATCAGGGCTGAGGAGCTAGTTACAAACTGTGTTTGAGAATAAAGAGTATGTACTTGTGGGGTTCACTGTGAAGTGACTGACTGGAAAATAGTCCTTTACATTTAGGGCTCTCTAAATAGCCATGCTTAAACATTGTTTTTTTGTATGGGGATTTCTCAAAGAACTGAAATTAGAAACTCTCTGTGACTCAGCTATACCCTCGCTAGATATCTTCTATGAGAAACCTGAATCATCATATTACAATGACACTTGCATACCAATGTTTATAGCAGCACAACTCATAATAGCTACATCCTGGAGGCAGCCTGTATATCCATCAACAAAGAAAATGTGGTATTACATATAAAGGAATACTACTCAGCTATGAAGAATGACAAATGTGAGACATTTGGAAAATATAATATTGAATGAAATAAATCAGACATGCAAGCTTAAATGCTGTATCTCTCATCTGAGTGAGGAAGAGTACAGACAAAATTATATAGGATAGCTAGAAAGGGACAGGGGAATGAATGTCTTATAATAGGGAAGGGTCTAAGAGAACAGGGATGAGATGGGAGGAGGAGGAGAAAGAAAAGGAGGAGGGGAAAGATAAGAAAAAGATATGCACACAGGAACCTAATAACCCAGTGATTGTAAGCACTGTATGCATGCCATGAGGGAAGACAGATGACATCAACAAGTGTGCAAAAGAAGATGGCAAAACAGGTGGGGCAGGGAAGAGGAAAGGGGATTAAAAAGGAACAAGCTGTGATCTGTACGTGCAACCCCTCCCAAGATGACTGCAATCTCCACGAACTGCAAACGTGTACTAATAAAAAGAAAATAAAAAATAAAAGCAGCCCCCCCACAAAAAAAAACCCCAAATCGTTTCTCCAGAGAGTGAACCTTCCCGCTGTCCTGCAGGGCACACGTGCGTGCCTGACACACCCGAAGCAGGGCAGAAGAGCTGTGAGCAGTGCGGCTGAGGAGGCTCCATCTCTTCCACACATAGGGCTGACCTAAAGCCCTTTCCTTCCTCAGTTTTTTCCTCTTACTCCTTTTCATTCTTATATCTAAAATTCTCAGTGCTGTTATTGTCCTTCTTTTTCGACTTCTACAAAAAGCAAATGAAGGACCCGTTTGCTCACAGGGTAGCTGGGCTGTGAGTTAACCTCGAGTGTCCATTTGACTGGTGAGAGTCGTCAGAGACCAATAAAGCACACGCCTGGTGGGGCTTGTGGGTGTCACCCTGGGGTCCCTGGCCCCGTCCTTTCGGTCGTTTCCTGGGATCTGTGCTTCTGTGCCGTGAACTGAGGCGCTTTCCTCCGCCTTGCCCTCTGCCATGGTGTCACTGCTTGGAGCCAGCTGACTGGACTGAAACCTTTGAAACAGCCAAAATAAACCTCTTCCTGTAAGTTACGGATGTCAGGTGTTTTATCACAGTCATGGAAAGCTGAGTGGTACATGGACTGAGATGTGGCAGATGAGGAATACATGTCCCGCTGCAGGACTGGCAGAGGGGACCAGGGCTCCCTCTGTGGACAGTGACTCTCGCATTGTGGTCACCTACCTCACCCCCTCCTGCCATCCTGCAGGCATCTCCAAGTTTGAGTTCCCTCCAGGACTTTGGTGCTGCTTAACTTGTTCCTCTTCTTGTGTCCTCTGCAGGCACCTGGGTAAAGAATTGTACTCATTTTGCATCATATAAGCATCATCAGATTTTAACCATGTGAGAGGCAGGCTCTCGGTTATCATGCCACACAGAAGCAGAGGTCAACAGTAACCAACAGTAACCAACAGTAACCCGAGCCACTCAGTGGTCGCCAGGTCCAGAGTGTGACACGAACTCTTTGCTGTTGTTTTGTTTTTTTCTTAGAATTTTTTTTTTTTATCGGTACCAGGATCTAACTCAATGACTGCCTGCTTGCAAGGCAGGTGCTTATGCCGCTGAGCTAAATCCCCAGCCCCCCTGACACGAACTCTGAACCACCACCATTTCCCAGCAGAGTTCTCCAGTCTCTGGATCTTTTTAGTGATAGGTTAGAATCTATCTTTAGTTTTACTGTTTACCAAACTCTGCTGTTTGGCTTCGGCTTTCATCTTTAAAAATAAAAAAATAAATTACAGATTTCAACAAAATTCTTGTCACCTCTGCCTGATCAATTATCATTTAATAATCATCACATGATATAAAGTAGTATGAACAAGACTGGTTACTAACACCTCTGTTAATGTCTGAGTATTTGCTTTACAATACACAGATGTAATTTGAGATGGAAGATTTTCTAATGTACTTTATATACTGATATTCTGTCTGTTTACTAAAGTGAAAATATACATAGACATAAATATATGTATATTTCCTACTACAAATGTAAAACAACAATTGTGAAATGTTAAATTAAAAGATTGTAAAACATTAAACAAGTAAATACACTAAAACTAATATAAATATAAGATGCATTATCTAGAAAATATTATGAAGTAAAATATATCCTTTGAAACATTTGAGAATTTAAGTAATCATACAAAGCAGAATAATAGAAATCTAATTATAATTCTTGTGTAGAATTGTTTAGTACACAGACATTTGTAGCATTTAGATGAAATAACTTATTGAGATTATATTTAAAATTTTAGATCTTTAATTCCATTTAGGCCATAATTTTTCAATAAAATGAACCATTTGCATATTATTCACATCTTGTGAAAATGATTAGGAAATTTGTCACCTACAACTTTTACAAGAAAATAAAGATTATTAATCCTGGAATTATAACATATATAATAATTAGTCATCTTTTTAAATTTTTATTTTTATTTTGGAGGTACCAGGAATGGAACTCGGGATCTCATGCTTGCCAGCAAGGTACTGCACCACTGAGCTAAATCCCCAGCCCAATAATTAATCATCTGTAATCTAATGATAAGAAAAAGAAATAAGCATATGAAAAAAGGAGAAATATTTCTACTAATCAGTTTCTTCTAGCAATTAAACTTGAAGGCACCAATTTTTCAAGAGTGGATTAATCACCATGCTCTATAATTTTGAGTCCATAGAAACCAAAAATGTAAATGGAAACTTATCAAAATAACAGGTTTGTACCAGAAACTACTTATAATAGTTGAACACAAAAATTTTTTGCAAGTTTGCCTAATCTATGATTTCTAGGTGCAAATTCCTTTCAGGAAAACTAGAGGCATTCGTTGAGTGAATGTTAGCCCCTACAAATCAGGGGTGTCATCCAAAAAGTTTGTACAGCGCTTTCCCCTTAGATAAAGTGGTTTTACTATCCATGGTTTTAGTTACTAAAAATGAACCACAGTCCAAAACCACCAAACTGAAGATTCCTGATATAAACAATTCTTAAGTTTTAAATTGCCAGTGGTTTTGAGGAGCATGAGAAAATCTTGCTGCTCCGGCTCCCGCTCTGATCTGCCCGAGATGTGAGTTCTTCCTTTGTCCAGCAGGTCCACCCTGAATACACTACCATCCATTAGTTGCTTAACAGCCATCTTGGTTCTCAGATCAGCTATTAGGAAATCACAGGGCTTGTGTCCAAGGAACTCATAATGGCCTCAAAGCAGAAACATTCATTACTATTCATTGTAACTATTCTACTTTGTTATTACTACTGTGCCTCATTCCTAAGTTAAACTTTATCAGACACACATATTTAGGAAAAACCTAGTGTGTATAAGATGCTGTATCACCTGTGATTTGACACATCCACTGGGAGCTTGCAACATATCCTTTGCATAAGTGGGGCCACTGTGTTAAGACTTACTTTGGTTCAAACAGCTTCTTTACCACTGACAGCTTCCATTCTATCTTAAATCAACACGCTGAGTGAGCACATAACAAAACAGTTCCTAAATCCCTTTTCTGATTCCCTTCAGAAAGATGAGGACTTAGTCTCATCGCTGAGTCACAATACCTGACATCCACCACTTAAAGGAGAAAAGGTTTAATTTGGCCCACAGTTTGTGGAGGTTTCTGTCCATAGTTTGCTGGTTCCAAGGCTGGCGAGGCAGAGGAGAAGCAGCCTGTGGCATGGCAGGTAGGAGCAGAGAGAGCTCAAGGGAGGAGGAGGGAGAGAGAGACCCTTCTGGGAACCATCTCCTCCAACCAGTCCTCACCTCTCAACATCATGCTAGCTGCAAAGCCATCAGTGAAGTAATCCAGCGATGAGTGTCACACCTCCATCACCTCCCCAAGCCCCACATATAAACACATGGATGGCTTGGTGGCAGGGGACATCTAAATACAAACCATAACAAGGCTGCAAGAGATTGATATGAGAGGGCCACTCACTCTCTGCTCCTTTACACTGCCTCCATTACCCTCCTGTAGGTTCCCATGACTTTCTAAAAACACAGCTGAAGGATGTGGATAAAACAGCACATGTTTGTGGTTCTTAAATCATCCACAGTTTCCATCATGGTTCTTACACTGTCACTGTCAATTGCTAGATACTTCTCTTTACTAATTTTTCATTATGTAAATATGTCTTTTGTCGTATTTTCTATGACTTTAAACCATGTGAGACCCAGAAGACTCTTGGAGCCAAATAAAGAGCAGAGATTAATAATAATCAACACTAGTACACCACATGGCCACACAAGGCGTGTCTGACATAAAATACAGAATTTTTCACACTGCAGAGCAATAGAGAGCAGAATATAAATCAGGAATCTTTTCAAAAAATCAAACTTCCACAACTAAAATTCAATAATTGCTTACAGAAAAAAATAGAGTGTTGGAGTATATTTAAACTGATACACTTTGGGAAGGCAAGCATCTTTCCTATGTTACATGTTACAGAGATCCATCTATTCCAGGACAGATGCCAGAATTCTGGTGGGCACAGCAAAAATTGGGATACCGATGGCAACTCAAAGATGATATGTTTTAAACTATTAAAGCTAATTACAGCTATCCATTGCTACATTCCTAGATCAAGATCTAAGAACAAAAATTTTCAGGGGGTAAAACATTCATTTTCTGTACTCCCCTTACCCCCACTCTGAATGAAGAGGGAGGGAGACACATATACCCTTCCGGGTCATGGCTCAGTGATCTGATCCCACCTAACAGTGCTGAGAAAATAACTTCCGTACAACAATGCTAAACTTCTAATATTTGACTCCAAAGCATTTTATAGTGCACTTGGTAAAATTTCAGATTTATTTTTACATGTCAGAAATTCAAGAAGTGGTGATGATATCTGATTTGGGCCTTGACTGTGGACTGATACGTTTGGCCCCAACATGGACACACTGCATCTGCAACCTCCTTTTGTTTTCGAAGACATTTAAATTCCTTACTCTCCTCTTAGTGGGACTTTGAAAGAAGACCAGAATAAATACACAGGATAAATTAGGGTATACATATTTTTCAGCCCTATTGTTTTCCTTCAGAATATGATTATCTTAGTTCAAGTTGCTATAAAAATAGACGATAGGCTGGGCGAGTTGCAGAACAAACGTTTATTTCTCAGAGTTCCAGAAGTTGAGAACTTTGAGGTCAAGGTGTTGGAAGATTTGATGTCTGATGAAGGCTTCCTTCCTGATTTGCACATAGCTGCCTTCTAATTATGTCCTCAAGAAGCAGAGAAGAGGAAGAGGCAGTGAGCTGCTCGCTGGCTGTCACCAAGTAAGGACGGTAATCCCGTTCATGAGGACCTAGTTGCTTCCTAACTGCCCCATCTCCTAGTACCATCACTTTGGGAGTGAGGATTCCGGCACATGAATTTCAGTGGAACACATTCAGTCCATGACAATGACACCCACAGCATTTCTTATGCTCCTGAAGCTTCCACACGCGTCACCTACAGTGCCTCTTCTAACCTGCTGGCTGAAGAACGCACACACCCTCACTCAGCTAGTGCCCGGCTGAGCCACGACCCAAACAAATACTTAGTCCTGGAGTCTATACTGTTAACTATTAAGCTGCTGCTTGCTGACCAGCTTTTCTTAGCAATAAACACTCTCCTACAGCACCACTCTTAGCGTTGCACTGCATGGATAAATGATCATTTATTAATCTTCTAAAATTAGACATCAAGATCATGTCTCTCTTCCCCCCTTGGGCAATCTTGAACTGAATGTATTTATAGCTTATCTTTGTGCTGCTGCTGATTTTTTCTTTTCGGAGGATGTGCACTTTAACCACATTCACAAAACGTAGCACTACCCTGTCACCCCAAGTCCCTGAAGGCCCCAAACAAGGCTGCAGCTGCATCTTCCTTTGACAATCCCCTCACTAGCACCTAGCAAGCTGCTAAGTTTCTTGGCTTGAGGTTTCACAGTTCATGGCTTCATAAGCCTCCCAGGGTTAGTTCTGCTGCTGCCGAACTCACCACTGAGCAGCACACAGCTCTCACTCATCCCATCTGTCTCATAGCATGAGGAAGCTTGGGGTCCTAAACCTGGTAACCTGAGGTTCAAATCCTCACATTACTAAGGCTGGCTTGAACCACTGTGACCTGGAAAGCCCAGGGACAAGTAATAGTCATGGCATATTCACGTAGAATGTAAGCTTCACAGGCGGAGATATTTGTTTATTTTGTTCAGTGCACACTAGTTATCTGTAAATGTCTGTGGAATGAGTGGACGCCCCACCCTAAAATACATCCACCCACTAATTTAGCCAACAAAGAACAAATAAAT